TCTCGGGCTCGTCGAAGAACTTCTCCATCGCCGCCGATGTGGACACTCCCGCTCTGACCAACTGAGCGCCAGTCATCTCAATCCCTTTCGGCGGTCCCGTTGTGCCCGAAGTGTATGATATCTGAGTAATTAATAATTAATGTTAATTTAGTTATTGATACAATTAAATATAGTTTTATGATAATGTTAAATAAGTAAATGTACAATTTGTAATTCATCAGGATGCAGTTCCTGTTTATCTAGCTCGATGGTCTGCTCTTGTTTACCATCGTTGTATAGCCCCGTAGTTGATAGTAGTTTGATGTTGGGCTCAAATTGAATGGTATTATTGTTTTTAATGGCATCACTATTATTGTCCACAAATATAATTGTATTGACTTTTGGACATGTTTTCAATATATTCTGCACTTTTGGCAACAAATCATATGTCGTGTAAATTATGGCCGCATTTGTTTCGTTAATACAATGAGAGATTCCTATAACAGAGATAAGTGCATAAAAATTAATTAAATTATTTTAAAATTTTAAAAAATATTTATGCAAATAATTATTTAGATTAAAAAGTATTACATGAAATAAAAATTAAAATAAATGAATTAACATTAATATTATTCAGAATTTATATGACATGGAACTGTAAAATGCCTAGAAATTATAATTAATTTTTATAATTTAATATTGATTGAAATTACATTTAATGTAAAAAGGTGATAAAATTGCATAATTTATTTATTTTTAAAAATAAAATTTAGTTAGAATTCAGTGTATAATAAATGCTTATTGAAGATAATTAACTTTTACTTTTAAAATAATTTTCATATCAAATCAATGAGAGAAAAATAAATAACATAAACACCATTTAGTTGTCAATAGTGTTATGAATTAAATTAAATTTTTTACAACAATTCACACTCTTATAACTTTATAACTATATCTATTGGAAATAACGGCATTGAATGCCCTATCAATAGCCTAAATAATGACATACATGTAATTATATTATAGATATTAATATATTTTAACCTTAATTTTTTTAAATAACAAAAATGATTATAATTAGATTATTAACGTAATAATAAACACTGCAATACGAATACTTTATTGTATTTTATCGATATGTTTCAATTTTTGAATTTTATGTCATTTAACATGTATTTAGAATTTTATTTCAATTATAATTTTTAAAATCGAGTTTAATTAAAATAAGAAAAATATTTTTACTGATAATAAATTTCTTAAACAATTTAATAAAGTTTACACTATTGACATACATATGAGTTATCTATGCACTAAATATAAGTTGTTTGCAATTGATATAAAATAAATTGCATTAACAATACAATTGTCAATTGATATCATCAATAGGTATGTGGAATGAGTGGGAAATACCCATCAATATGGTTGGGTGTCTTATAAATCAAACAAAACTTCTTCGAAATTTTAATTATATTTCAATTGATCTCGAACAAATATGCAAAATACACACAATAAAGATAATTATAAAATAGATATTACATATACCGTAAGACTGACATTCTTAAGAATTTTTCTAATGATATATTGCATTGAATTGTTTTCTTTTCGTTAAATTCAATTTTAGCACATTATCCCATATATGCCATACCTTCATATAATAACTAATTAATCATGTTTTTCTTATTTGTCTATTTATTTTCAGATCTCTCTCTCTCTCTCTCTCTCTCTCTCT